TCATATATTTGTTGGAGGGGGCATTGATGCGCCATGTGACCGTTAAATAAATCTCGGCTCTACAGTCATCGCAAACGGTAGAACACCGGTGGTATCCAAATGCCACGTACACTTGTACTAGCTATTCAATATTTGTTTTGCTGGGAAGCTCGCAGGACACCATGGAAATGATGTACACTATTTAAAGCGATATAGGGTATCGGAAGGTGGTCAACAATCCTGGGAGGGGAGTAGTGTCATCATATATCTCGCGGACGTTTGAAGGCATTTCAATCCTAGACTGCCCTTTTTTCAGAATTCAGACTCGTTTGACTTGGGATCTGAAAGGGGGCACCTCCATTGACAGCTGTAGAATCTCCTTAGCTCTTTCTGATAACTTAAATAAGTCCTATCTCTATCTCTATCTCTCTCGTAGAATCTCGGACCGGGTCAAGCTGACGCTGGTTCTGTTGACCACCAAATCGTTCCCGTGGACGCCAATACCATACAGTATTGAAAATGCTCTCTAGCAGCCACCATGAAACTCTTAGCAAAATGAACCCGGGTTCCCGCAAGCAAACCCGAGGTCAAGCATAATTTTTTATTTAATTTCAAGCACAGGTAACTAGATCGAAATTTGGTCGCTCCGAGTACATATCACTGTACGCAGTTTATCACAAGAAACGAACCTTTTATAATATCTAGGCATTATGTGAAAAATCCAATCCAGATGAAAATCCAATTCAGTACAGCGAGAGCTCACTGTAAGATACACCCTCTTTAGTCTGGCACAGGACAACGTCTTTCGAAATGCAAAGCAGGCTTCAATAAGAGGCCACTTCCTTCGTCTTTGAATATGCAAAAATATCATTTTCAAGACATACTTGAAGTATCGAATACCGGTAAATATTTTTCTTGATAAGTATGCTAGTGTGAATGCCCGCAGTTCTAATTGTCTCGAGTACACGTGTAGTCTTCGTGTTATACTCGCAGATACCGCTCCAACTACTTTTACCTTATTGGTCAGCCACTTCAACATCAGAGACGGCTACATATTTTTGATGGTCGAGGATGCAGGAGGGACACCAACGCGTACAACAAAATAAGCTCTTGTTTGGATTCAGCGGCTTCTACACAGCGTTGAGTAATCCTATATACATGACAGCTACTACAACGACACGTAAGGCACGTATCTCGTGCAAGTTAGATCTCGGCGCATCGTCCGAGTGTGGTTGGCTGCAACGAATGGCGATCCACAAGTGCAGATTCATCAGCTTCGGTAACCCAAGGGTCCGGGTATTTACGCGCGCAAGTGGCGGTAGGCGCCAGGCTTGGAGTATCCTCCGTAAGCCTTGCCGGCAGAGTTTCCACCCACACCTGCGCTCAGTCCCGCACCAGCGCTAAGACCTGCACCAGCGTTGAGGCCCGCTCCAGCCTTGAGACCGGCACCCCTCGCCCTGAGTTGCAGAGCCTTGACTCCTGCACCTGCGTTGATTCCCGCTCCAGCGTTGAGACCGGCACCGGCATTCAGTCCCGCTCTAGCGTTGAGACCGGCACCGGCGTTGATTCCCGCACCAGTCTTGACTCTTGCACCTGCGTTGAGTCCCGCTCCAGCCCTGAGTCCCGCGCCGGCGTTGAGTCCGGCACCGGCATTCAGTCCCGCTACAGCCTTGAGACCGGCACCGGCGTTGAGTCCGGCACCGGCATTCAGTCCCGCTCCAGCGTTGAGACCAGCACCAGCGTTTAAGCCAGCACCCGCATTGAGTCCGACGCCAGCTCTGCCGTAGCCTCTGGCACCCACACCTGCGCCAGCTTGGAGCCCCGCGGCGGCGTTGATACCCACCGCCGCGCCGCCGTACCCGTCACGCCTGCCATAGTCGTCGTTGTTGCGATAGCCATTCTGCTTGCCATACGCCCCACGCGTGTCGTAGCTATCGAGCGAGTCATCACTGTCTTGTTGGCCATACCCGTCTCGCTTGCCGTACCCGTTGTTCTTACCGTAGACGTTCCGATTGCCGTATGCGTCGCGCTTGTCGTAGCTGCGTTCTTGCCATACCCGTCGTGGTTCTGGTGCAGACGCCCGTACGTCTGCGCCACCTCGGTAGACGCGTCCACTGCACTAGCCGAGAGCGCCACAGCCGCCGCACACAGCGCACAGATTGTCTTGCTGAACATCATCTTGCTAGACTTGGAATTGCTTGATTGGAAGCGTGTTGGCCCACAGACGCTGGATCAGGACGTCGGAAATTGAAGAATGAACTCACTTGCATTTTGCTCCGATCGATGCAGCGAAGGACTGAAGTTGGCGTGATATCCTCTTGCGCAACGAACAGCTTGACAACCGCTCGACTAGCTCGCTCGCTGGGTGTTTGCAAGTCGACGGGTAGTTAGGAACAGATGGCTGAGTCGCCGCATAAGAACTCGTTGCAGTGGTAGTAATCCTGTCGACAAGGTAACCCTCCGATGGCAGGGTCACCTGCGGTTGTGTTTCTAACCTGCAGTGCGATTATTAAAATACATTCACGTATCTTGCGTTGAGTACTGTTGCTGCTCGTTGCTGAAACAGACACGGTTAAACATATATTTGTTGGAGGGGGCATTGATGCGCCATGTGATGGTAAATAAATCTCGGCTCTACAGTCATCGCAAACGGTAGAACACCGGTGGTATCCAAATGCCACGTACACTTGTACTAGCTATACAATATTTGTTTTGCTGGGGAGCTCGCAGGACACCATGGAAATGATGTACACTATTTAAAGCGATATAGGGTATCGGAAGGTGGTCAACAATCCTGGGAGGGGAGTAGTGTCATCATATATCTCGCGGACGTTTGAAGGCATTTCAATCCTAGACTGCCCTTTTTTCAGAATTCAGACTCGTTTGACTTGGGATCTGAAAGGGGGCACCTCCATTGACAGTTGTAGAATCTCCTTAGCTCTTTCTGATAACTTACATAAGTCAGATTATCTGACCCATAATACGACAAATAATGTTGTAAACATGCTTCCCCTCTTTCCCTCGTGCGTACTCTCTCTTTCTCTCTCTCTCCCGTAGAATCTCGGACCGCGTCAAGCTGACGCTGGTTCTGTTGACCACCAAATCGTTCCCGTGGACGCCAATACCATACAGTATTGAAAATGCTCTCTAGCAGCCACCAAGCCTGAAACTCTTAGCAAAATGAACCCGGGTTCCCGCAAGCAAACCCGAGGTCAGGCATAATTTTTTATTTAATTTCAAGCACAGGTAACTAGATCGAAATTTGGTCGCTCCGAGTACATATCACTGTACGCAGTTTATCACAAGAAACGAACCTTTTATAATATCTAGGCATTATGTGAAAAATCCAATCCAGATGAAAATCCAATTCAGTACAGCGAGAGCTCACTGTAAGTTAAACCCTCTTTAGTCTGGCACAGGACAACGTCTTTCGAAATGCAAATCAGGCTTCAATAAGAGGCCACTTCCTCCGTCTTTAAATATGCAGAAATATCATTTTCAAGACATACTTGAAGTATCGAATACCGGTAAATGTTTTTTCTTGATAAGTATGCTAGTGTGAATGCCCGCAGTTCTAATTGTCTCGAGTACACGTGTAGTCTTCGTGCTCTACTCGATCTTAAGCAATTGATAGTATGCAAGCCGTTTTACCTCGACGAAGCAGATACCGCTCCAACTACTTTTACCTTATTGGTCAGCCACTTCAACATCAGAGACGGCTACACATTTTTGATGGTCGAGGATGCAGGAGGGACACCAACGCGCACAACAAAATGAGCTCTTGTTTGGATTCAGCGGCTTCTACACAGCGTGGAGTAATCCTATATACATGACAGCTACTACGACGACACGTAAGGCACGTATCTCGTGCAAGTTAGATCTCGGCGCATCGTCCGAGTGTGGTTGGTTGCAACGAATGGCGATCCACAAGTGCAGATTCATCAGCTTCGGTAACCCAAGGGTCCGGGTATTTACGCGCGCAAGTGGCGGTAGGCGCCAGGCTTGGAGTATCCTTTGTAAGCCTTGCCGGCAGAGTTTCCACCCACACCTGCGTTCAGCCCCGCACCAGCGCTAAGACCTGCACCAGCGTTGAGGCCCGCTCCAGCCTTGAGACCGGCACCGGCGTTGATTCCCGCACCAGTCTTGACTCCTGCACCTGCGTTGATTCCCGCTCCAGCGTTGAGACCGGCACCGGCATTCAGTCCCGCTCTAGCGTTGAGACCGGCACCGGCGTTGATTCCCGCACCAGTCTTGACTCTTGCACCTGCGTTGAGTCCCGCTCCAGCCCTGAGTCCCGCGCCGGCGTTGAGTCCGGCACCGGCATTCAGTCCCGCTACAGCCTTGAGACCGGCACCGGCGTTGAGTCCGGCACCGGCATTCAGTCCCGCTCCAGCGTTGAGACCAGCACCAGCGTTTAAGCCAGCACCCGCATTGAGTCCGACGCCAGCTCTGCCGTAGCCTCTGGCACCCACACCTGCGCCAGCTTGAAGCCCCGCGGCGGCGTTGATACCCACCACCGCGCCGCCGTACCCGTCACGCTTGCCATAGTCGTCGTTGTTGCGATAGCCATTCTGCTTGCCGTACGCCCCACGCGTGTCGCAGCTATCGAGCGAGTCATCACTGTCTTGTTGGCCATACCCGTCTCGCTTGCTGTACCCGTTGTTCTTGCCGTAGACGTTCCGATTGCCGTATGCGTCGCGCTTGTCGTAGCCGTCGGTCTTGCCATACCCGTCGTGGTTCTGGTGCAGACGCCCGTACGTCTGCGCCACCTCGGTAGACGCGTCCACTGCACTAGCTGAGAGCGCCACAGCCGCACACAGCGCACATTTTGTCTTGCTGAACATCATCTTGCTCGACTTGGAACTGCTTGATTGGAAGCGTGTTGGCCCACAGACGCTCCATCAGGACGTCGGAAATTGAAGAATGAACTCACTTGCATTTTGCTCCGATCGATGCAGCGAAGGACTGAAGTTGGCGTGATATCCTCTTGCGCAACGAACAGCTTGACAACCGCTCGACTAGCCCGCTCGCTGGGTGTTTGCAAGTCGACGGGTAGGAACAGATGGCTGAGTCGCCGCATAAGAACTCGTTGCGGTGGTAGTAATCCTGTCGACAAGGTAACCCTCCGATGGCAGGGTCACCTGCGGTTGTGTTTCTAACCTGCAGTGCGATTATTAAAATACATTCACGTATCTTGCGTTGAGTACTGTTGCTGCTCGTTGCTGAAACAGACACGGTTAAACATATATTTGTTGGAGGGGGCATTGATGCGCCATGTGATGGTAAATAAATCTCGGCTCTACAGTCATCGCAAACGGTAGAACACCGGTGGTATCCAAATGCCACGTACACTTGTACTAGTTATTCAATATTTGTTTTGCTGGGGAGCTCGCAGGACACCATGGAAATGATGTACACTATTTAAAGCGATATAGGGTATCGGAAGGTGGTCAACAATCCTGGGAGGGGAGTAGTGTCATCATATATCTCGCGGACGTTTGAAGGCATTTCAATCCTAGACTGCCCTTTTTTCAGAATCCAGACTCGTTTGACTTGGGATCTGAAAGGGGGCATCTCTCTCCTTAGCTCTTTCTGATAACTTACATAAGTCAGATTATCTGACCCATAAGTCGACAAATAATGTTGTAAACATGCTTCCCCTCTTTCCCTCGTGCGTACTCTCTCTCTCTCTCTGTCGTAGAATCTCGGACCGCGTCAAGCTGACGCTGGTTCTGTTGACCACCAAATCGTTCCCGTGGACGCCAGTACCATACAGTATTGAAAATGCTCTCTAGCAGCCACCAAGCCTGAAGCTCTAAGCAAAATGAACCCGGGTTCCCGCAAGCAAACCCGAGGTCAAGCATAATTTTTTATTTAATTTCAAGCACAGGTAACTAGATCGAAATTTGGTCGCTCCGAGTACATATCACTGTACGCAGTTTATCACAAGAACCGAACCTATTATAATATCTAGGCATTATGTGAAAAATCCAATTCAGATGAAAATCCAATTCAGTACAGCGAGAGCTCACTGTAAGTTAAATCCTCTTTAGTCTGGCACAGGACAACGTCTTTCGAAATGCAAATCAGGCTTCAATAAGAGGCCACTTCCTCCGTCTTTGAATATGCAAAAATATCATTTTCAAGACATACTTGAAGTATCGAATACCGGTAAATGTTTTTTCTTGATAAGTATGCTAGTGTGAATGACCGCAGTTCTAATTGTCTCGAGTACACGTGTAATCTTCGTGCTCTACTCGATCTAAAGCAATTAATAGTATGCAAGCCGTTTTACCTCGACGAAGCAGATACCGCTCCAACTACTTTTACCTTATTGGTCAGCCACTTCAACATCAGAGACGGCTACACATTTTTGATGGTCGAGGATGCAGGAGGGACACCACCGCGTACAACAAAATAAGCTCTTGTTTGGATTCAGCGGCTTCTACACAGCGTTGAGTAATCCTATATACATGACAGCTACTACGACGACACGTAAGGCACGTATCTCGTGCAAGTTAGATCTCGGCGCATCGTCCGAGTGTGGTTGGTTGCAACGAATGGCGATCCACAAGTGCAGATTCATCAGCTTCGGTAACCCAAGGGTCCGGGTATTTACGCGCGCAAGTGGCGGTAGGCGCCAGGCTTGGAGTATCCTCCGTAAGCCTTGCCGGCAGAGTTTCCACCCACACCTGCGTTCAGTCCCGCACCAGCGCTAAGACCTGCACCAGCGTTGAGGCCCGCTCCAGCCTTGAGACCGGCACCGACGTCGAGTCCCGCTCCAGCCTTGACTCCTGCACCTGCGTTGATTCCCGCTCCAGCGTTGAGACCGGCACCGGCATTCAGTCCCGCTCCAGCGTTGAGACCGGCACCGGCGTTGATTCCCGCACCAGTCTTGACTCCTGCACCTGCGTTGAGTCCCGCCCCAGCGTTGAGTCCCGCTCCAGCCTTAAGTCCCGCACCGGCGTTGAGTCCGGCACCGGCGTTCAGTCCCGCTACAGCCTTGAGACCGACACCGGCGTTGAGTCCGGCACCGGCATTCAGTCCCGCTCCAGCGTTGAGACCAGCACCAGCGTTTAAGCCAGCACCCGCATTGTGTCCGACGCCAGCTCTGCCGTAGCCTCTGGCACCCACACCTGCGCCAGCTTGGAGCCCCGCGGCGGCGTTGATACCCACCGCCGCGCCGCCGTACCCGTCACGCCTGCCATAGTCGTCGTTGTTGCGATAGCCATTCTGCTTGCCATACGCCCCACGCGTGTCGTAGCTATCGAGCGAGTCATCACTGTCTTGTTGGCCATACCCGTCTCGCTTGCCGTACCCGTTGTTCTTGCCGTAGACGTTCCGATTGCCGTATGCGTCGCGCTTGTCGTAGCCGTCGGTCTTGCCATACCCGTCGTGGTTCTGGTGCAGACGCCCGTACGTCTGCGCCACCTCGGTAGACGCGTCCACTGCACTAGCCGAGAGCGCCACAGCCGCCGCACACAGCGCACAGATTGTCTTGCTGAACATCATCTTGCTTGACTTGGAATTGCTTGATTGGAAGCGTGTTGGCCCACAGACGCTGAATCAGGACGTCAGAAATTGAAGAATGAGCTCACTTGCATTTTGCTCCGATCGATGCAGCGAAGGACTGAAGTTGGCGTGATATCCTCTTGCGCAACGAACAGCTTGACAACCGCTCGACTAGCCCGCTCGCTGGGTGTTTGCAAGTCGACGGGTAGTTAGGAACAGATGGCTGAGTCGCCGCATAAGAACTCGTTGCAGTGGTAGTAATCCTGTCGACAAGGTAACCATCCGATGGCAGGGTCACCTGCGGTTGTGTTTCTAACCTGCAGTGCGATTATTAAAATACATTCACGTATCTTGCGCTGAGTACTGTTGCTGCTCGTTGCTGAAACAGACACGGTTAAACATATATTTGTTGGAGGGGGCATTGATGCGCCATGTGATGGTAAATAAATTCTCGGCTCTACAGTCATCGCAAACGGTAGAACACCGGTGGTATCCAAATGCCACGTACACTTGTACTAGTTATTCAATATTTGTTTTGCTGGGGAGCTCGCAGGACACCATGGATATGATGTACACTATGTAAAGCGATATAGGGTATCGGAAGGTGGTCAACAATCCTGGGAGGGGAGTAGTGGCATCATATATCTCGCGGACGTTTGAAGGCATTTCAATCCTAGACTGCCCCTTTTTTCAGAATCCAGACTCGTTTGACTTGGGATCTGAAAGGGGGCGCCTTTGTAGAATCTCCTTAGCTCTTTCTGATAACTTACATAAGTCAGATTATCTGACCCATAATACGACAAATAATGCTGTAAACATGCTTCCCCTCTTACCTCGTGCGTACTCTCTCTCTCTCTCTGTCGTAGAATCTTGGAGCGCGTCAAGCTGACGCTGGTTCTGTTGACCACCAAATCGTTCCCGTGGACTCCAATACCATACAGTATTGAAAATGCTCTCTAGCAGCCACCAAGCCTGAAACGCTTAGCAATGAACCCGGGTTCCCGCAAGCAAACCCGAGGTCAAGCATAATTTTTTATTTAATTTCAAGCACAGGTAACTAGATCGAAATTTGGTCGCTCCGAGTACATATCACTGTACGCAGTTTATCACAAGAAACGAACCTTTTATAATATCTAGGCATTATGTGAAAAATCCAATCCAGATGAAATCCAATTCAGTACAGCGAGCAGCCTCACTGTAAGTTAAACCCTCTTTAGTCTGGCACAGGACAACGTCTTTCGAAATGCAAATCAGGCTTCAATAAGAGGCCACTTCCTCCGTCTTTGAATATGCAAAAATATCATTTTCAAGACATACTTGAAGTATCGAATACCGGTAAATGTTTTTTCTTGATAAGTATGCTAGTGTGAATGCCCGCAGTTCTAATTGTCTCGAGTACACGTGTAGTCTTCGTGCTCACTCGCAGATACCGCTCCAACTACTTTTACCTTATTGGTCAGCCACTTCAACATCAGAGACGGCTACACATTTTTGATGGTCGAGGATGCAGGAGGGACACCAACGCGTACAACAAAATGAGCTCATGTTTGGATTCAGCGGCTTCTACACAGCGTAGAGTAATCCTATATACATGACAGCTACTACAACGACACGTAAGGCACGTATCTCGTGCAAGTTAGATCTCGGCGCATCGTCCGATTGTGGTTGATTGCAACGAATGGCGATCCACAAGTGCAGATTCATCAGCTTCGGTAACCCAAGGGTCCGGGTATTTACGCGCGCAAGTGGCGATAGGCGCCAGGCTTGGAGTATCCTTTGTAAGCCTTGCCGGCAGCGTTTCCACCCACACCACCTGCGCTCAGTCCCGCACCAGCGCTAAGGCCTGCACCAGCGTTGAGGCCCGCTCCAGCCTTGAGACCGGCACCGACGTTGAGTCCCGCTCCAGCCTTGACTCCTGCACCTGCGTTGATTCCCGCTCCAGCGTTGAGACCGGCACCGGCATTCAGTCCCGCTCCAGCGTTGAGACCGGCACCGGCGTTGATTCCCGCACCAGTCTTGACTCCTGCACCTGCGTTGAGTCCCGCCCCAGCGTTGAGTCCCGCTCCAGCCTTAAGTCCCGCACCGGCGTTGAGTCCGGCACCGGCATTCGGCCCCACTACAGCCTTGAGACCGGCACCGGCGTTGAGTCCGGCACCGGCATTCAGTCCCGCTCCAGCGTTGAGACCAGCACCAGCGATTAAGCCAGCACCCGCATTGAGTCCGACGCCAGCTCTGCCGTAGCCTCTGGCACTCACACCTGCGCCAGCTTGGAGCCCCGCGGCGGCGTTGATACCCACCGCCGCGCCGCCGTACCCGTCACGCCTGCCATAGTCGTCGTTGTTGCGATAGCCATTCTGCTTGCCATACGCCCCACGCGTGTCGTAGCTATCGAGCGAGTCATCACTGTCTTGTTGGCCATACCCGTCTCGCTTGCCGTACCCGTTGTTCTTGCCGTAGACGTTCCGATTGCCGTATGCGTCGCGCTTGTCGTAGCCGTCGTTCTTGCCATACCCGTCGTGGTTCTGGTGCAGACGCCCGTACGTCTGCGCCACCTCGGTAGACGCGTCCACTGCACTAGCCGAGAGCGCCACAGCCGCCGCACACAGCGCACAGATTGTCTTGCTGAACATCATCTTGCTCGACTTGGAATTGCTTGATTGGAAGCGTGTTGGCCCACAGACGCTGGATCAGGACGTCGGAAATTGAAGAATGAACTCACTTGCATTTTGCTCCGATCGATGCAGCGAAGGACTGAAGTTGGCGTGATATCCTCTTGCGCAACGAACAGCTTGACAACCGCTCGACTAGCCCGCTCGCTGGGTGTTTGCAAGTCGACGGGCAGTTAGGAACAGATGGCTGAGTCGCCGCATAAGAACTCGCTGCGGTGGTAGTAATCCTGTCGACAAGGTAACCCTCCGATGGCAGGGTCACCTGCGGTTGTGTTTCTAACCTGCAGTGCGATTATTAAAATACATTCACGTATCTTGCGTTGAGTACTGTTGCTGCTCGTTGCTGAAACAGACACGGTTAAACATATATTTGTTGGAGGGGGCATTGATGCGCCATGTGATGGTAAATAAATCTCGGCTCTACAGTCATCGCAAACGGTAGAACACCGGTGGTATCCAAATGCCACGTACACTTGTACTAGTTATTCAATATTTGTTTTGCTGGGGAGCTCGCAGGACACCATGGAAATGATGTACACTATGTAAAGCGATATAGGGTATCGGAAGGTGGTCAACAATCCTGGGAGGGGAGTAGTGTCATCATATATCTCGCGGACGTTTGAAGGCATTTCAATCCTAGACTGCCCTTTTTTCAGAATCCAGACTCGTTTGACTTGGGATCTGAAAGGGGGCGCCTTTGTAGAATCTCCTTAGCTCTTTCTGATAACTTACATAAGTCAGATTATCTGACCCATAATACGACAAATAATGTTGTAAACATGCTTCCCCTCTTTCCCTCGTGCGTACTCTCTCTCTCTCTGTCGTAGAATGTCGGACCGCGTCAAGCTGACGCTGGTTCTGTTGACCACCAAATCGTTCCCGTGGACGCCAATACCATACAGTATTGAAAATGCTCTCTAGCAGCCACCAAGCCTGAAACTCTTAGCAAAATGAACCCGGGTTCCCGCAAGCAAACCCGAGGTCAAGCATAATTTTTTATTTAATTTCAAGCACAGGTAACTAGATCGAAATTTGGTCGCTCCGAGTACATATCACTGTACGCAGTTTATCACAAAAAACGAACCTTTTATAATATCTAGGCATTATGTGAAAAATCCAATTCAGATGAAAATCCAATTCAGTACAGCGAGAGCTCACTGTAAGTTAAACCCTCTTTAGTCTGGCACAGGACAACGTCTTTCGAAATGCAAATCAGGCTTCAATAAGAGGCCACTTCCTCCGTCTTTGAATATGCAAAAATATCATTTTCAAGACATACTTGAAGTATCGAATACCGGTAAATGTTTTTTTCTTGATAAGTATGCTAGTGTGAATGACCGCAGTTCTAATTGTCTCGAGTACACGTGTAGTCTTCGTGCTCTACTCGATCTTAAGCAATAAATAGTATGCAAGCCGTTTTACTATGACGAAGCAGAAACCGCTCCAACTACTTTAACCTTATTGGTCAGCCACTTCAACATCAGAGACGGCTACACATTTTTGATGGTCGAGGATGCAGGAGGGACACCAACGCGTACAACAAAATGAGCTCATGTTTGGATTCAGCGGCTTCTACACAGCGTAGAGTAATCCTATATACATGACAGCTACTACAACGACACGTAAGGCACGTATCTCGTGCAAGTTAGATCTCGGCGCATCGTCCGAGTGTGGTTGATTGCAACGAATGGCGATCCACAAGTGCAGATTCATCAGCTTCGGTAACCCAGGGGTCCGGGTATTTACGCGCGCAAGTGGCGGTAGGCGCCAGGCTTGGAGTATCCTCCGTAAGCCTTGCCGGCAGAGTTTCCACCCACACCTGCGTTCAGTCCCGCACCAGCGCTAAGGCCTGCACCAGCGTTGAGGCCCGCTCCAGCCTTGAGACCGGCACCGACGTTGAGTCCCGCTCCAGCCTTGACTCCTGCACCTGCGTTGATTCCCGCTCCAGCGTTGAGACCGGCACCGGCATTCAGTCCCGCTCCAGCGTTGAGACCGGCACCGGCGTTGATTCCCGCACCAGTCTTGACTCCTGCACCTGCGTTGAGTCCCGCCCCAGCGTTGAGTCCCGCTCCAGCGTTGAGTCCCGCCCGGCGTTGAGTCCGGCACCGGCATTCAGTCCCGCTACAGCCTTGAGACCGGCACCGGCGTTGAGTCCGGCACCGGCATTCAGTCCCGCTCCAGCGTTGAGACCAGCACCAGCGATTAAGCCAGCACCCGCATTGAGTCCGACGCCAGCTCTGCCGTAGCCTCTGGCACTCACACCTGCGCCAGCTTGGAGCCCCGCGGCGGCGTTGATACCCACCGCCGCGCCGCCGTACCCGTCACGCCTGCCATAGTCGTCGTTGCTGCGATAGCCATTCTGCTTGCCATACGCCCCACGCGTGTCGTAGCTATCGAGCGAGTCATCACTGTCTTGTTGGCCATACCCGTCTCGCTTGCCGTACCCGTTGTTCTTGCCGTAGACGTTCCGATTGCCGTATGCGTCGCGCTTGTCGTAGCCGTCGGTCTTGCCATACCCGTCGTGGTTCTGGTGCAGACGCCCGTACGTCTGCGCCACCTCGGTAGACGCGTCCACTGCACTAGCCGAGAGCGCCACAGCCGCCGCACACAGCGCACAGATTGTCTTGCTGAACATCATCTTGCTCGACTTGGAACTACTTGATTGGAAGCGTGTTGGCCCACAGACGCTGGATCAGGACGTCGGAAATTGAAGAATGAGCTCACTTTTATTTTGCTCCGATCGATGCAGCGAAGGACTGAGGTTGGCGTGATATCCTCTTGCGCAACGAACAGCTTGACAACCGCTCGACTAGCCCGCTCGCTGGGTGTTTGCAAGTCGACGGGTAGTTAGGAACAGATGGCTGAGTCGCCGCATAAGAACTCGTTGCAGTGGTAGTAATCCTGTCGACAAGGTAACCATCCGATGGCAGGGTCACCTGCGGTTGTGTTTCTAACCTGCAGTGCGATTATTAAAATACATTCACGTATCTTGCGTTGAGTTCTGTTGCTGCTCGTTGCTGAAACAGACACGGTTAAACATATATTTGTTGGAGGGGGCATTGATGCGTCATGTGATGGTAAATACATCTCGGCTCTACAGTCATCGCAAACGGTAGAACACCGGTGGTATCCAAATGCCACGTACACTTGTACTAGTTATTCAATATTTGTTTTGCTGGGGAGCTCGCAGGACACCATGGAAATGATGTACACTATGTAAAGCGATATAGGGTATCGGAAGGTGGTCAACAATCCTGGGAGGGGAGTAGTGTCATCATATATCTCGCGGACGTTTGAAGGCATTTCAATCCTAGACTGCCCCTTTTTTCAGAATCCAGACTCGTTTGACTTGGGATCTGAAAGGGGGCGCCTTTGTAGAATCTCCTTAGCTCTTTCTGATAACTTAAATAAGTCAGATTATCTGACCCATAATACGACAAATAATGTTGTAAACATGCTTCCCCTCTTTCCCTCGTGCGTACTCTCTCTCTCTCGCTGTCGTAGAATCTTGGACCGCGTCAAGCTGACGCTGGTTCTGTTGACCACCAAATCGTTCCCGTGGACTCCAATACCATACAGTATTGAAAATGCTCTCTAGCAGCCACCAAGCCTGAAACTCTTAGCAAAATGAACCCGGGTTCCCGCAAGCAAACCCGAGGTCAAGCATAATTTTTTATTTAATTTCAAGCACAGGTAACTAGATCGAAATTTGGTCGCTCCGAGTACATATCACTGTACGCAGTTTATCACAAGAAACGAACCTTTTATAATATCTAGGCATTATGTGAAAAATCCAATCCAGATGAAAATCCAATTTAGTACAGCGAGAGCTCACTGTAAGTTAAACCCTCTTTAGTCTGGCACAGGACAACGTCTTTCGAAATGCAAATCAGGCTTCAATAAGAGGCCACTTCCTCCGTCTTTGAATATGCAAAAATATCATTTTCAAGACATACTTGAAGTATCGAATACCGGTAAACGTTTTTTCTTGATAAGTATGCTAGTGTGAATGCCCGCAGTTCTAATTGTCTCGAGTACACGTGTAATCTTCGTGCTCTACTCGATCTAAAGCAATTAATAGTATGCAAGCCGTTTTACCTCGACGAAGCAGATACCGCTCCAACTACTTTTACCTTATTGGTCAGCCACTTCAACATCAGAGACGGCTACACATTTTTGATGGTCGAGGATGCAGGAGGGACACCAACGCGTACAACAAATAAGCTCTTGTTTGGATTCAGCGGCTTCTACACAGCGTTGAGTAATTCTATATACATGACAGCTACTACAACGACACGTAAGGCACGTATCTCGTGCAAGCTAGATCTCGGCGCATCGTCCGAGTGTGGTTGGTTGCAACGAATGGCGATCCACAAGTGCAGATTCATCAGCTTCGGTAAACCAAGGGTCCGGGTATTTACGCGCGCAAGTGGCGGTAGGCGCCAGGCTTGGAGTATCCTCCGTAAGCCTTGCCGGCAGAGTTTCCACCCACACCTGCGTTCAGTCCCGCACCAGCGCTAAGGCCTGCACCAGCGTTGAGGCCCGCTCCAGCCTTGAGACCGGCACCGACGTTGAGTCCCGCTCCAGCCTTGACTCCTGCACCTGCGTTGATTTCCGCTCCAGCGTTGAGACCGGCACCGGCATTCAGTCCCAAGCTCCAGCGTTGAGACCGGCACCGGCGTTGAGACCGGCACCGGCGTTGATTCCCGCACCAGTCTTGACTCCTGCACCTGCGTTGAGTCCCGCCCCAGCGTGAGTCCCGCCCGGCGTTGAGTCCGGCACCGGCGTTCAGTCCCGCTACAGCCTTGAGACCGACACCGGCGTTGAGTCCGGCACCGGCATTCAGTCCCGCTCCAGCGTTGAGACCAGCACCAGCGTTTAAGCCAGCACCCGCATTGAGTCCGACGCCAGCTCTGCCGTAGCCTCTGGCACCCACACCTGCGCCAGCTTGGAGCCCCGCGGCGGCGTTGATACCCACCGCCACGCCGCCGTACCCGTCACGCCTGCCATAGTCGTCGTTGTTGCGATAGCCATTCTGCTTGCCATACGCCCCACGCGTGTCGTAGCTATCGAGCGAGTCATCACTGTCTTGTTGGCCATACCCGTCTCGCTTGCCGTACCCGTTGTTCTTGCCGTACCCGTTGTTCTTGCCGTAGACGTTCCGATTGCCGTATGCGTCGCGCTTGTCGTAGCCGTCGTTCTTGCCATACCCGTCGTGGTTCTGGTGCAGACGCCCGTACGTCTGCGCCACCTCGGTAGACGCGTCCACTGCACTAGCCGAGAGCGCCACAGCCGCCGCACACAGCGCACATTTTGTCTTGCTGAACATCATCTTGCTCGACTTGGAATTGCTTGATTGGAAGCGTGTTGGCCCACAGACGCTCCATCAGGACGTCGGAAATTGAAGAATGAGCTCACTTGCATTTTGCTCCGATCGATGCAGCGAAGGACTGAAGTTGGCGTGATATCCTCTTGCGCAACGAACAGCTTGACAACCGCTCGACTAGCCCGCTCGCTGGGTGTTTGCAAGTCGACGGGTAGTTAGGAACAGATGGCTGAGTCGCCGCATAAGAACTCGTTGCGGTGGTAGTAATCCTGTCGACAAGGTAACCATCCGATGGCAGGGTCACCTGCGGTTGTGTTTCTAACCTGCAGTGCGATTATTAAAATACATTCACGTATCTTGCGTTGAGTACTGTTGCTGCTCGTTGCTGAAACAGACACGGTTAAACATATATTTGTTGGAGGGGGCATTGATGCGCCATGTGATGGTAAATAAATTCTCGGCTCTACAGTCATCGCAAACGGTAGAACACCGGTGGTATCCAAATGCCACGTACACTTGTACTAGTTATTCAATATTTGTTTTGCTGGGGAGCTCGCAGGACACCATGGAAATGATGTACACTATGTAAAGCGATATAGGGTATCGGAAGGTGGTCAACAATCCTGGGAGGGGAGTAGTGTCATCATATATCTCGCGGACGTTTGAAGGCATTTCAATCCTAGACTGCCCTTTTTTCAGAATCCAGACTCGTTTGACTTGGGATCTGAAAGGGGGCATCTCTCTCCTTAGCTCTTTCTGATAACTTAAATAAGTCAGATTATCTGACCCATAATACGACAAATTGTGTTGTAAACATGCTTCCCCTCTTTCCCTCGTGCGTACTCTCTATCTCTCTGTCGTAGAATCTCGGACCGCGTCAAGCTGACGCTGGTTCTGTTGACCACCAAATCGTTCCCGTGGACGCCAATACCATACAGTATTGAAAATGCTCTCTAGCAGCCACCAAGCCTGAAACTCTTAGCAAAATGAACCCGGGTTCCCGCAAGCAAACCCGAGGTCAAGCATAATTTTTTATTTAATTTCAAGCACAGGTAACTAGATCGAAATTTGGTCGCTCCGAGTACATATCACTGTACGCAGTTTATCACAAGAAACGAACCTTTTATAATATCTAGGCATTATGTGAAAAATCCAATTCAGATGAAAATCCAATTCAGTACAGCGAGAGCTCACTGTAAGTTAAACCCTCTTTAGTCTGGCACAGGACAACGTCTTTCGAAATGCAAATCAGGCTTCAATAAGAGGCCACTTCCTCCGTCTTTGAATATGCAAAAATATCATTTTCAAGACATACTTGAAGTATCGAATACCGGTAAATGTTTTTTCTTGATAAGTATGCTAGTGTGAATGACCGCAGTTCTAATTGTCTCGAGTACACGTGTAGTCTTCGTGCTCTACTCGATCTTAAGCAATAAATAGTATGCAAGCCGTTTTACCTCGACGAAGCAGATACCGCTCCAACTACTTTTACCTTATTGGTCAGCCACTCCAACATCAGAGACGGCTACACATTTTTGATGGTCGAGAATGCAGGAGGGTGTGAGCTATAAAGCTTACCTGCGTGTCGAGCGCCAGTGCATTGCAGTCTGCCAGTGTCCGGTGCCCCCATCTACGAGCCACCGTCCACTGCCAGTGTCTGCAAAGACACATCCCAAGGACACTCATGCGCCTGGCAGTGCAGCTTGCGGCTGCACTACAGCCGGCTACACTGAGTACACATGCGTGCAATGGCGAAGGACTATACCAAGGACTGTATGCACAAGGACATCGTTGGCTGTGCGCTGCCAAGATGGTGTACTCAAACGAGAGTGCATTTATCTAGAGTTTAGTATTGACTTATTTGCTATTTGTATACTAATCTACTTTTGCGGTACAGCGGTGTTCTGGCGGAGGCTGCTCCACACTTTGCGTTTTGACGCCTGCCGCTCACCAGAGAGCAGCAGAGAAGAGCAGCCTCGCCAGACACCGCAGTCCTGTCGCGGCCTCTTGCCCGGCACTTACGTGTTTACGCTACTTCCTGATTAGTTTCCTTAAGTTGACATTTAAGTGTATTTACATTTAAATGGCTCCTACTCTTAGAAGCGATCGACACATGGAGAACAATCCCCCCGTGACGAGCCCTACGTCACCACTGAGGGACACCAACGCGTACAACAAAATGAGCTCTTGTTTGGATTCAGCGGCTTCTACATGTACACAGCGTAGAGTAATCCTCTAAACATGACAGCTACTACAACGACACGTAAGGCACGTATCTCGTGCAAGTTAGATCTCGGCGCATCGTCCGAGTG